GTGACAGCTTCTCTCTGAATGTAAACATTAAAGGAAAAACAGCTGTACTGCATCTTGCCCACTTCTGTAACTGAGGCTGTACCAACTCAAGTATGCAACTTATTGGGCATAACTATGCTTGCTCCCTTCTGCAGTTTGGGGCTGTGCCAAACTCAAACACACAACTTATTCAGTACACTTGTCAGCTCCCCACAAGGCTTCAACTGCTAGCCAACAGATCTATCCTATTCCCCACCTCCCATCACAATACCAAAACAGACTCCAGGAGGGGATGGAGAGAAGAACCTCTTCCTTTTTGTTTTACTCCTTTTCCAGGTGCTGGCAGCTCATATCTCCCAGAGAAGCATTAGCAGATGAACTCTGTGGAACTGATGGACTGTATAATGATACTCAGATTTGTTTATGCTGTTGGTGATCCTCTAAAAATAATTTGTTCATTTTCTGATGATAGTCAAAAATGTTACCTGCAGATTTATCTGTAGTGAGAAATATCAGCATGCTTGATTTGGTATTTTAATTTTATTCCATTTGGAGCCAGGCTTCATGTTTCCACATTATAAATGTTATGTCTGTCTTCCTGGTTTGTACCTCCTTCCTGTCATGTGGCAAAATTCACCAGAATTGTTCATTTTTCTTTTGAATTAGTACATTTAATGAAGTGCAAGATGACTTATTTAACCTTTTTTAAAGTGTTTTAGCAACTTTTCACCTGTATTTGGTTCAATGCATCTTCTTGATGCAGAGAGCCCTTGAAACACAGGTTGCCATAGATCCCAGCCTGTGAATTAAGACCCTTACAGTCCATAATGCTGCAGCCCATAATGGCTGCAGCCTTGGCAACATTTTTATTAATAAAATGTCGAAGGGAACAGAAAAGCCTCCTTATTGTAGAAGAGGAAGACTACACTTATGGTCAAGAACAGGGAGTACCTTGGAAAAAAGAACTCTAACCAGGGGGTACCTCATAAGAACTTAAGGCCTTTCTGCTACCAGGTAGCAGACTGGATCCTCGGAGGCTTTGAACCAAATCCAGGAAGTTTGTCATCAGTGACTGAGGCCAAAGACCCATATCAAACAGCAGATCCTAGAGCTGCTGGTGCTGGGGCAAGTCCTGACCATCCTGCTGAAAGAGCTACAGGCCAGGAAATAACTGCATTGACTGAAGAACAGAGAAGAGACAGTGATCATGTTGGGAAATTTGAAAAAATGATCTTGATGAAGTAGGACAGCAGTGGTGGCTAAAAGGAGGAATGAATGTCTTCAATGTATGGGATAATAAAGGGAAAATTTTACCCTGTATCCCATACCCAGCACTATAGGCATAAATCCAGTGAAATTCTTACCTTTCTTTGCTGGTTTTTTGCTGGTTTTCCCAGAATCTCATCTACAGGCTCCAGAAAGAATCAGGCATTCATTCACCTCCATCGGGCTCCAGAACTATGGGGGAGAAGGTATGATACCTCTCATAAGGGCCATGGCCAACACCCTTATGACAAAAATGAGTTAACAAGAGAAAAGCATAACAGATTTATTTAATCAAAGTTTTCCAGGTGCAGTGGCTCAAGTCTATAATCCCAGCTACTTGGGAAGCAGAAAACAAAAGGATATCATTTCTAGGCCAGCCCAGGCCATCTCAATCAGTGGCTGGGTATGGTGGTACCTACCTATCATCCCATCTAATCTACATGGAGAGGCCCAAATAGGAGGATCCTGGTCCAGGCTAGCCTGGGCATAAAGCGAAGCCATGTCTCAAAAATAACCAACACATAAAGGGTTGGCAGAGTGGCTCAAGTGATAGAGTACCTGCCTAGCAAGCAAGAGGCACCAAGTTCAACCCCAAAGTACCACAAAAAGAGAAAAGTTTTATGTGACAAATGATGCTTCAGAATGAAGACCCAAATGTTACAGAATTATCTGAGTCTTTGTGGAGATGATTCGTTGATAACTTCCAATTATTTACTCTGGGAATGGTTTAAATTTTTCTACTTCTTAATTTTGGAATGATGACTCTTTTCCCTCAGAACCACCAATTTCACTGAGATTTTTTACTTTTTCTTGCTTTTTTTTTTGATGGTACTGGAATTTGAACTCAGGGCCTCATGCTTTCTAGGCAGGTACTCTACCACTTGAGCCACTCTGCCGCTCTTTTTCTCTTTCTTTTTTTTGATGTTGGGGATTGAACCCAGGGCCTCCCACATGCTAATCATATGCTCTACCACTGAGACAGAGCTATACCCTCAGCTCATGTACTAATGTTATTGTTCAGTATTTTAAAGGACTTTTTGTTTCATGGGCCTATTTACAAATATTTCATTCCTGAATTTATTTATTAATGTCAAATTTTTATCTTTAATTCATTTGCTTCTGCTTTTCTTTTTCTTTTCCTAACTTTGGTTTAAGGACAGAATCTTTCTCCTTTCCCTAACTTCTTCAGTAGAACATTTATTTCCAATCTCCTTTAAAAAATAATTCAGTTGTGAATATACATCTGTCAAATGCTGTTATTTTTTAGTCCTCTAGTTAGTTATGTAGGTTTGTGGGTTTTGTTTGATTGGTGCAAGGGGTTTTTTTTGTTTTTGTTTTTGTAGTTTCAAAAGCCAAAAACAGCAAAAGAAACTCAGTGGTAATGTGCTTGCCTACCATATACTAGGCCCTGGGTTCAATCCCTAACATGGAAAAGGGAGAGATACAGAAACATTATTTTATAAATATTGAAAACAAGAACATTTTTGTAGGCTGTGAAGAATAAACAGGCTTTTAAAGGCAGTTATCTTCTCAGTTACACCAGTAGCAAATTTTGATTAACAAAATTGAGACTTTACAGAAATATATAATGTATTAAATGCAGTTTCTCTGTGAGTTACTCCAAGTGACAACTATTGTGAACCTATTTAAAGTTATACAAAAATATCATAGCATGCTGTTTTGTAACTTTTTGAATTCAATGTACTTTTGACATCTTCAAATTTTTAAAAACTGAGTGGTATTTTAATGAATATACATACAGAAATTTAAATTTACAAATATTGAGTATTTAGGTTTCACAACTTAAAAAAACAGTATTTGTACACATATGATTTGTATAAGCACTTCTATATGGATAATTCCAAGAAACTAAGCTATTGCATCAAGGGTTATAGACATATTAATTTTATTAGAACCTACCTTCTAAAAATGTACAGCTGAGTGTGCCTGTGTCGCCACACATTCCAATCCTGAATATTACCAAATGTTTCGTCTTTAGCAATCTGAAAAAATAGACAAATCTTTCTTGTTTTAAATTCTTGAATTATTAAGGAACCTTTTCATATTCATTATTTTCCTTAAGATTTGTATCCTATGAGTGCTTGCTTAAGTATTTGTCAACTTTTGTATTGGCCTGTTCACATTTGTATTTTTGATCAAAGGTCTGTATATTAGGAAAATAAGCTCTATGTCTTTTAAGGCTGGTATATTTTACTTTTAGTTTGCATTTTGACTTTTCATTCAAAAATTTAGAATTTTTATAAAACTACTTTCATTTGTCATTTACATTATGGTGCTTTGGTTTTATGGTACTAAGATCTTATGTCATTCTTAAAAAGGCCCTCCCCACTCCAAAGTAGCAATGGCTTTCCCAACTATCTCCCTGTTTCTGCCCTTGCTGAAAGTCCTTCACATATAAGTCTATATTTAGCAGCCAGAAAAATGAATGAAAATTTGTCCCTCTCTTCTATGCCCCATCCCTAGTAGATGCTTCTTTTGATCTTTTTTTAATGATTTTATTAGCATATAATAGTTGTACAGGGGGATAGATTGATCATGTTACTCCTCTATTCAGAAGCCCCAAATAGCTTCTCCTCTTGGAGTAAAAACAGTATGTTTGCATACACCCAAGACCTGTCACTACCTCTCCCTCTTTCTCTCCCAGCACCTAAAAATACTTCAAACTCCACTCTAGACCTATATATTTGCTGTCCCTCTTCCTGAAATATTTTTACTCCTGGTGGCCCATTCCTTTAGGCCCTTCAGTCTTTGCTCAAACAATCATTCACTAGTGACGTCATCCAGAAGTCTCTTGTTTAGATTGCATCATTTCAATCACACTCCAAACTCCTGATTTCCTTTGTTTTCTTCTTAGTACTAACATCCACCATCTTGTTAATTGCAGGCACACACACACAAATTACGTGAAAGCAAGGTCACTGTTTTGTTCAAAACTAGTTCTAACTTCTAGAACAGAGCCTGGCATATTTTTGGAAAGAAGGGAAGAGGGTGGACAAAATCAAAGAGAATATTTTTCACTCATCAAATTAGCAAAGATCAAAAGCCAAAGCTGTGTTGTCAAATACAGATAAAAACATAACCAGTGAGCTCCATGATTAGATTTGGCACTAACAAAAGTACAAATGTCTCTATCTAGTAATTCTAATATTATAGTTTACGAATGTATCCTTACATATAAGAAATTATGTCTGTTGACACTCATTTCTAAAACAGGGATTGAAAAAGAAAAGTTGGAAGCCACCTACATGACCGTCAGTGGTGTAGTTACTAAATTATGGCACACATACACAATTGGATACTGTGCAGTAGTTTCTTGTTTTGTTTTTAGCAAGGCAGGGAGTCCCTTTATGTACAACAGAAGGAAAAATAAACAAGGTGCAGAAATGTTGCAATTTGGGCAGTGTGAAAAACTGAGGGTTATACATATTTGTGCAATATAACTACAGAAGGATATAAGCACCCGGGGATCATTTGTTGTCAATACTGGATGCCTGGACACAGTTCCTTTAAAAAAAAAACAAAAACCTTGTGTGAAAGCTTTACTTACTTACATTATTTCTTTAGTAATTAAACTTAAAATATATTTTGAGAAGGGAAAAAAGTTTTTAATAAAGGTACAGAAACTAGGTCCTCCACCATTGAGGACCACCGAGGCCGAGGCCGCTAGAGCGGCCGGAAGTGCCCCGCGGGCCGCCGTCTGGCGCGGTTGGACTCTGAGTCCGTCCGGCCTTTGTTCCCGGCTGTGTCACCTGTTCCTCTCCGCGCGTGAGGTGAGTGTTTCCCGGCTCCCAGGTGGAGAGGAGGAGGGGACAAAGCTGTCAGCAGCATTCCCCTCCCCACACCTCCCTGTCGTGGACGCAGTGAGCATCTGCTCTCCCCATCCCCGACAGACCTTCCGGGAGAGCCTGAGGTGGAAGGGGACACGAGTTGCGGGTTCCTCTGCCCAGACCTTCATTTGACCCCTTTCCTGAGTTGGCATCAACCCCTGCAACCTGTGAGCCCGGGGAACACAAGCCGATCCATGCATCTGGGAAGAGGTTTGTTTTGTTTTGTTTTGTTTCTAACACTTAGCGCTTGTTCAGTGCTTACTTGGGGCAGCTGACACGTCAGGAATATCGCACACCTTCGTCATTTAATCTGTATATCAACCCAGTGAGAAACATGAGCCTTTTACATGAGGGTCTGTACTCTAGGTGAGTAACTTCCTCATCATTATGCAGGAGAGCCCAGATTCAATCATGCCCCCGCTCCACTGTTCTTTTTTACAGCCTCCTGTGAGACTGTTTTTTGTGACTCAAGTCTGGTGGCTTGGCTTCATTAGTATGTGTTTATCATTGCAGCAGATTTTCTTCTTTCTTTGTAGTGACGACTTTTTGTGCCTTAGGACTGTCTCTGAGACAAGATCTCAAGTAGAAGGATTAATCTCCTGATAAAGCCCAGAATGGCTGCAGCCATAGAACCTGAAGAACAAAAAGAACTTTTTATAGTTAATTCAGAGAACCAGTATTGGGGACAGGACTCCATCTCACAAGAGTACAGTCCTTATAGGAGGGAACTCTTCAGGCAGCACTTCAGGAAACTCTGCTATCAGGATGTACCTGGACCCCGGGAAGCTCTTACCCAGCTCTGGGAGCTTTGCTGCCAGTGGCTGAGGCCAGAATGCCACACCAAGGAGGAGATTTTGAACCTGCTTGTCCTGGAACAGTTCCTGAGCATTCTTCCTAGGCACCTGCAAGCATGGGTGCATGCACACCATCCAGAGACTGGTGAGGAGGCAGTGACTGTGCTGGAGGATCTGGAAAGAGAGCTTGATGAGCCCCGAAAGCAGGTATGCAGTCATTTGACTGAGTAGTCAGGGTGTATGGGCCAAGTCAAAACAAAAGGCACATTAAAGAAATACTGAAAGTATTTCATATGTATACCCTGAGAAGAACAAAGGCTTAGGGAGGGGCATGACTACCCGTGTAAAATAACTTAACATGTGGCTAAGTAAAGAGAAGAAATGTTTTTTTTGAAAAAAAAAAAGGGGAGGGGGACAAATTCTGTTTCACTTTGGAAGACTAGGATCAGTAGAAAGTTACAGGAAAACAAATAAATATCTCTGAGAAAAAGAAACACATATTCAAAGCTACCCATAAATAAGTTGGCCTATCCCATAAGAAACTCCTTTCCACAGATGTATTCAAGTAGAGGTCAGATGTCAAAGACATTGCGGAACAGTACTGTCCAGAAAAAAAAATGATCTATATATATAATTTAAGTTTTGTAATAGCCAAAGATTTAGTAATTTTAATAAAAGTAAAACATGAAATGAAATTTATTTAATCCAAACTATTTAATCGTGTAATCAATAAAATCAACTGTTTTAGGTCTGTTTTTTTTCTATTTAGTTTTCACAATTTGGTGTATAATTTACACGTAGCCTATCCCAATTTATACTAGCCATATTTTAAGTACTGAACTACATTTTGCTAATGGCTGCCATATTGAATAGCATGATAGAAGAAATGCTCCCATTGCTGGAAGTTGGTCAAGATGATTTTTAAGGTTCCTACTAAATCCCAAGACTATAATCCTGTACTTCTCTAAGACCAATGGGAGAAGGGACAGAATTTCACTTTCCAGTGCCCTGAACTACAGAGATTTGGCCCTTGTCCTAATCATGGCCATTTACAATTGAATGAAAATTTGTCCCCCTTTTCTATGCACCATTCCTAGCAGATGCTTCTTAGATCTTTTTTTATGCTTTTATTAGCATATAATAGTTGTACAAGGGAATTCATTGTGTTATTTACATATGTGTTTAAAATAGATCTTTTATTTAAAGTTCTTCCAGTTTCCACAAAATCTATCTGACAAGTCCAATTATACCTCTTGTTCCCAGCTCCCAGCGGATTCAGAAAGAAAGGAAATACTCTTGCACAAACTGACTCCCTTGGGAAGGCCATATGAGTCACTGACCATTCAACTCCATTCAAAGAAGACCCCACTGGAGCAAGAATCTGGGAATGGTAAGTAGTCAGAATTTTGTGTATATGAGGGAGGAATTTAGAGAGTATTGTAATCCATGTTCTGTTGCTAATAACACAATACCTCTGGCTGGATATGTTATAAAGAAAAGAAGTTTATTGTGGCTCAGGTTCTGCAGCCCATGGTCTAGGAGCTGTATCTAATGATGGCTTTCATCCAGGCAGAATTCCAAAGCAGCAAAAGGCATCACATGTTAGGAGACAAGGAGTATGTGTGTGTTTTCTGATCCCTCTCCCTTCACTTCATATAAAGCCAATAGTCTTCAATCATGGGGACTCCACTCAGATGACCTTATCCTGGTCACCTCTCAAAGGCCCTACCTTTAACACCATAATCTGATTAAATTTGCACCCTTTTAATACCCTTCATAATGGGGATTAAACTCCAATATGAGTTTCAAAGGAACAATATTAAAACCATAGCAGAGAGGGGAGCATTGTCACTTCTGTTTTCTCCTTTTAAAGATTTACTATTTATTCTTCACCTCACTACAAAGAATTTCACCCTCTTCGATTTTTCCCAACACAGAATGAATTATACTTCAGTTTTTCACTATACATAAAAGCTGCTAGTTGGCCCAAGAGATAGAGAGTGGGGTTCAAATACTCATTCAAGTTAATATTTTATACTTCTACCTGTTATCTAATGACTCTAGTTCCAAGTTCCCTTAAGTTTCCATTTTGAGACAGGAGAATTTTTGGCACCCTATAGTTAGTTGGATAGGGTTGCATCAACAGAATACTGTAGATGGGGTGACTTAACAGAAATTTATTTTCTCACAGTTCTGAAGGCTGGAAATCCAAGATAAGGGTTAGTTTCTGATGAGGCCTCTTTCCTTGGCTTTCAGACTTCTTGCTATGTCTTCAAATGGCCTTTTCTCTGTACAAGAGCCCTCCTGCTATTTCTTCTTATGAAGACATCAGTCCTCTTGGATTAGTATCCCACCTTTTGACCTCATCTTAATGAGCTTTAGTAAATTTACTTATATGGAGTCATTGCCTGTTTTCTGTAAAGAGTCATAAACACATAAGAAGGGGACAGGGCTGGCAGAGTGGCTTAAGCAGTAAGAGCACCTGCCTATCAAGTATGAGGACCTGAGTTCAAACCCCAGTCCCAACAAAAAAAAAGCAGGGGCAGGACATGTTCATGATACACTTCACAGTAATTTGTCAGCATGCTAAATTCCACTGTACAGAACACGAAGTTGCTGACTACTGTATGCCTGCTGACTTAATGTCTTCGAAACTTTAAACTCTAGATGACTCTGATTTTCTATAAACGCTTCTGGACTACTTTCACTGTCTTCTGTTAGCTTAATTCCAGAAAAACACATACTTCCTGTATTTAAAATTGAAGTTTTGCACATATGTTGCTACCATAATATTCAAGGGAATATTATATAGTTAAAATATGAGCTTCAGGAAATCTAGCTAACTTGAGGGCTGAGAATTCTTCAGGAAGTCTATTTTATCTACATTGAGCCGTATAGATACATTTTTTTCCAAGGTATAACACTAAGAACGTTCCACAATTTTTATGTGTTCCCTATCACCACCATACTTGGACCAAAAAAAAAAAAAAAAGGTCCAAGTCCTCATTTTATAATTGAATAAATATATCCATAGTGGCCTTGTCTAAATTTCCATAGAAATTAGAGGTAGAACTAAGATTAGAATCAGAAACTGGGTCTGGCCTGTTAGTTCAGAACACTTTAAAAAAAGAAACCAAGATGATGTGCCAAAAATATAATATCTTTTAAAAATAAATTTACTCTTAAATAGAAAAACTAACAGCAATTTTATGTAGTTTTTTTTTATTTTTTACAGTGTATCCTTCTATAGTAGTAAGATAGTATTAGAGCTGTCTGTTGGACCCTCTTACACTGCTGGTGGGAATGTAAACTAGTACAACCACTCTGGAAAAACATTGATCTACCATATGATCCAGCAATACCACTCTTGGGGATATACCCAAAAGAATGTGACACAGGTTACTCCAGAGGCACCTGCACACCCATGTTTATTGTAGCACTACTCACAATAGCCAAGTTATGGAAACAGCCAAGATGCCCCACCACTGACAAATGGATTAAGAAAATGTGGTATTTATACACAATGGAATTTTATGCAGCCATGAAGAAGAACGAAATGTTATCATTCACAGGTAAATGGATGGAATTGGAAAACATCATTCTGAGTGAGGTTAGTCTGGCCCAAAAGACCAAAAATCATATGTTCTTCCTCATATGCGGACATTAGATCAAGGGCAAACACAACAAGGGGATTGAACTTTGATCACAAGATAAAAGCGAGAGCACACAAGGGAGATATGAGGATAGGTAAGACCTAAAAAACTAGATAGCATTTGTTGCCCTCAATGCAGAGAAACTAAAGCAGATACTTTAAAGCAACTAAGGCCAATAGGAGAAGGGGACCAGGAACTAGAGAAAAGGTTAGATCAAGAACAATTAACCTAGAGGGTAACACACATGCACAGGAAATCAATGTGAGTCAACTCCCTGTATAGCTATTCTTATCTCAACTAGCAAAAACCCTTGTTCCTTCCTATTATTGCTTATACTCTCTCTTCAACAAAATTAGAGATAAGGGCAAAATAGTTTCTGCCAGGTAGTGAGGGGTAAGGGAGAGAGTGGGGCGGGGGGGTGGGAGGGAAGGAGGGAGAAATGACCCAAACATTGTATGCACATATGAATAAAATAAAAATTTAAAAAAAAGAGTTGTCTGTTGGCTAGAGTAATGAGCCTGCCAATAGCTTGATTTCAGACTTCTAGCCTCCAGAACTATAGGAGATTAACTTTGTGTTGTTTTAAAAAAAACAATAATAATTGTAGGGAGTAAGGTAAGATGAGGAGGATTTGGGATTTTGTAGGAAGCAGTCAAGGTGCTAACAGTGAAGAATGGAATTCATGCATTGGGTGAGGCTGGAGCCAGTGCTTTTTACTTCCAGCCCAGGCATTGAAATGTTCTGGAAGCTCTTGCTGCTTCTTTCATCATGTCAATTAAAAACTATAACCATTGTTTTTACACAGATGGTATTCTGTGAGATGGCAATCTGTTGAGATGGTAGTTTCCACATTACCAAACAGGGAATCTCTTTTACCCTCTCCAAATCCTTAAAACAGCTATTTTCTTACAGAATTCAACTCAAATATTTGGTTAGTACTTGCTATGGGCAAGTTCTATGCTAAGCCTGTGGTTGAGAACATCAGAATTTGGAAGAGGGGGAAAACACATCTAGTTTGGAAGATTATGAAAAACTTCCTGGAGGAGATAGCATTTGAGATGGACCTTGAATAATGGCAAGGCCAGTGGTTCTCAAAATGTTGTCCCTGGACCAGCAGTATCTCTCTTGCCAGGAAAACTACTAGAAACACACACATATGTTTGGGTTCTTTCCCAGGCCTACTGAAGCAGAAGCTTCAGAAGGTAGGAAGAACCCAGTAATCTGTGATATAATAAACCCTGATAATTTTGATGCACTATAAAATTTGAAACAACCAAGCAATGATTTTTTTGTTTAATTTTTAAGGTGGGGGTTTCACTATATAGCTTTGAGTTTGTGATCTTCCTGTCTCAGCGCCCAAGCCAGACACATACTACCATGCCTGGCTTCCAAGCTAGGATTTAGCCAGGAGGAGATGATAGTGAGAATATCAGTTCAGTGAGAACAATTCAGCCCAGCACATAACAACACCAGACTGTCACATTCTGCTTATTTTCCTTCTCCTGTATACCCTGACCTGCATGATCTTACTCTCTTTCCAGCTACTTATTACACTCCTCCTGTGGTTTGAATATGATGTGCCCCTCCTCAAAAATCTCCTGTGTTGAAAGGTTGACCCCTAGCTGGTGGCACTGTTGAGAGGTGATTGGATCATGAGGGTGCTAATTTCATCAATGGGTTAAGCTATTGATGAGTTCATACTTAATGGGTTATATAGGAAGTGGGGCATGGTTGTAGGAAGGTCACTGGCGGCATATCCCAGAAGGATATATATTGTCCTTGTCCCCTTCCTGTTGCTCTCTGCTTCCTGCCTACCATGAGGTAAGCAGCCTTATTCTACCATGCCGTACCGCCGTAATGTTTTTGTCTTGTCACAAGCCTGTAGCAATGGAGCTAGTCAACCATGGAGTGAAAAGCTTCTTAAACCATGAGCCAAATAAATCTTTACTCCCTCAAGTTGTTTTCTTACAGCAATGAAAAACTGACTAATACACTTACACACATTCTCTCCTCTTTGGATAGTTCTAATTCACTATATTCCTCTCATATCCCAAATCTTATTATCCTTGCTAGTCACTTTTACTCACTTACTGCCTGTGTTTCAGGCCATGCACATTTCTTCTGAACTTTTTTACCTCCTTCCCCATCTCTGATCCTCAAGTCTCTCTGGCTATTTCTCATTATCTTTGGCATATTTATAGTCCTTCCACTTACTACTCTGCCTTTGTGTAGGATTAACAGGTAGTCTCTTGATACACATTTTTACCTTTTCCTCTCAATCTGTAATCAAATAAGTTATCCTGCTAAATTCTTTTTTTCCTACATTGTAAGTATATGCTATAATGGTACTGAAACCAAAATAATGCCAAATATGTAACATATGTGTTATGGCTTATTATTTTTTAATACACTTACATGTTCTTCCATAGGCTATTTGCTTCTCAAATCTAGAATTGAACCTGTTTGTGTACTGTTTATTACAGGTAATATAAACAGGACTGAGAATGAGGAGTCATCACAGAAGGAAGATAGGCCCAAAGATACGCAATTCTTTGAGGAGATAAACAACAGACTTAGCAAAGATTTTCCTCAGCATCCTGAATTCAAAGAGGAGATATTAGCATGGCAACAGAGAGAAAGAAGACGATATAAGTGTAATGAATGTGGAAAAAGTTTCCGTCATAGCTCAGACCTTAGTAAACACAGGAGAATTCACACTGGTGAAAAGCCCTATAAATGTGATGAATGTGGAAAAGCCTTCATTCAGCGCTCACATCTCATTGGACACCATAGAGTACACACTGGAGTGAAACCCTATAAATGTAAAGAATGTGGGAAAGGTTTCAGTGGGCGCTCAGGTCTTATCCAGCATCAAAGAATCCACACTGGTGAAAAACCCTATGAATGTGATGAGTGTGGAAGGCTCTTCCGTGTAAGTTCAACTCTTATTAGACATCAAAGAATTCATATAGCAAATAAGCTCTACTAAAAAGGCAAAAATAGCAAGTGTTCTTTAATGCCTAATTAGTTGTCAGAGAATCTACCTTAAAGACATTATAAGTTTCCATAATATAGGCAAAGCTTCAATTGCATTAAAAATTTCTCTAGCACTGAGTAAAATACCATTTTATTTCTAAGTTCAGTTTTTTGGGGGGAGGAATCAAGAGTTATTTCAGAAAGCCTTGTCCATTGACGGCACTACTCACTTGTAACCCAAGACTGATGTTTCCTGATTGAAAGTGAATTTTGCCTCTCTGCTCTAGTTCCTTTTCACTTGACTGTTAGGTAAGACATTTAAATTGTTCTCTGTCTTCATTTCCCCTAGATAATAGAGGCCCACTAGCTATGTTTATGAAATTAAGAACTAAACAAGTGTTGATTCTCTTTCATTATTATTAATATAATGGCCTAATTATTTATCCCTTTTTATCTTAAAATTGGAGTGTGGTCATTTTTGTAGAAATACTTTATTTTCCAATGATAAAGAGCAAGAAAACACAAGAGGCTGAGAAAACATTAACGTGGAAAGGAAAACAGTAAGCAATCAGTAGGAGCAGCTAGGAAGGGGATAATAGAATATATTAGGGATCTATAATTTTGGATATCACTTTTCTTCTGAATCTCAGGTCATTTTACTCTGAGGGAGATATGGGGAGACGAGAGATAGGTTGGTCTAGAACTGTTCTGTCCAATATGGTAGCTAGTACCCACGTGTGGGTTTATGAATTTAAATTAAGTCAAAGACAATGTAAATTCAGTTTCTCAGTGACATTAGTCACATTTCAAATGGATCAATAGCCATGTTACAGGCTGAGCCCTCCAAATCCAAAATCCAAAATTTTTGAGTGTCAGCATGTGGAATGTTTCTACCTGACCTTGTGGTGGATGGCATTCAAAACTCAGGCATACAATGCACAGTTTATTCAGCATCCCAAAGGAAAAGAAGACCATCCCAGACCCTTCAGATATAATATAAAAACTATTTCATGAATAAAATTACTTAAAATATTGTATAAAATTACCTTTGGGAATGGATATAAGGTGTATATGAAACAAGTCAATTTTATGTTTAGACTTCAGTCCTTTCCATTGCCTATATGCAAATATTCCAAAATCAGAAAGACTTCTGGTCCCAAGCAATTTGAATAAGGGATACGTATCTGCACTAGCTACTGTACTGGACAGCTCAACTATAGACCCCCTTTTATCATGTGGAAAGTTCTAAAGGACATTGCTGACTAAGTCAGTCACTGGTAAGGTATCTTTCAGCTTCTATATTGTATATTTCTGAGTTCAAGAAGCAGCTAAAGAAATACCCGTTGAGTCTGCACTAACAGGTGATAAAATGCAAACACTCCAAAAGAAAACAATTTGTAATAATCATTTATGGCACTTTATCATCCTTAAAAAGGATGTGTTGTAGTTGGAGATGATTATTGAAGAAAATATAATCCAGCAGTTATCTGATAGAAATTTAAAGTTTAAATTACCACATCTTTGTACACAGATTGTTATTATCCTTTACAAAGTAGGATCCTCTGTCAGATACCTTACACTAATGAGAAACTAGGACCCTTAAAATACCAATACTTCAAGATTGTGAATAGTCCAATTTTTTTTTCTTTTGGCTTCTAATGTATTAGCATTTCATGTATTGCAACAGTGTTACATCCCTAATTTGAGAATTTCATAATATAATGGGAATCGTGACAAAACCACAGCACATTCAAATTCCCACCCTATCAAACTGCCCAAACCTCTAGTTCTTTGGCTTTCTAGTAACAGTCATCACAAAAATGATCAGGAAAGAAGTGATCTAATCTCTTCAGATCTCTTGTTGAAAAGATTTGCATTGTGTTTGAAATCAGGAAAACCACCAGAATTATTTTTATGTCTACTACTATAGGAAGATGAATCTTAAAACCTTCACTTAAAGAATTCCATACAGATACGCTGAGTTTTTATGTCTTTTGAAAATAATGTATAATGTGTCCTTACATTATTTGAAAATAATGCTCCTAAAAAAATAATGTAACCAGACATGATGCCATATAGCTATAATCCCAGCACTCAGGAGGCTCACAAATTTGAGGCCAGCCTGGGCTACATAGCAAGACCCTGTTTCTAAATAAAGAAATAGATAAATACTGTTTACTTTGAAAGTTTCATATCAACTGATACATTCTTAAAATGTTATGTTTCACACTAATACTTGTATTATGATTTACTGTAATCATTTGAGCAGTATTTCAAACCCATCTGAATCAATTGAGAAAAAGATTTCTTAATGATCATGAAGCTTTTTATGCATAAAAAGCTTACCCTGCATTTTTGCAGACCTTCAGCTTCCCTCTATGCCACACTTCTGATGCTATCCGCTCTTCTGCCCCTTTGACCTAATCATGAATATAGACATGTACCTAGTGGCTACTAGCACTTGAAATGAGGCTATGCAGCTAAGGAACTAAATTTAATTAAATTTTAAAACTTACACTGAAGTCAGATACTGGAAAACCTTTACATATGTGTTTTGATTAATCTGGGAATGTAAATCCACTTTTTCCATTTTTAGTTTTCTGTAATGAATGTAATGACAATGTAGAACAATTACTTTTTATGAAAATTTAATATCTGAATTAAGATGTGCAATAAGTATAAACACCAGCTTTCAAAGACTTTGTATAGAAAAAAGGATAAAGTATTTCAATAATATTTTTATATTGATTAAATGTTGCTACAGTAATACTTTGTATATAATGGTTTAAATAAAATGCATTATTAAAATTAATTTCACCAGCTATTTTACATTTTTAATGTGGCTATTAGAAAAATTAATATGTAAATGGATCAAATTCCTATATTTTAGACAGCTTCAACTAAGATCTCACCCTCATGGTAGGTCCCATTCTCATTTGCCAAACCATCTCACTTCTGTGAAACTAAGTTCTATGATGTCAAGGACTTTTTACATATTTCTTCTTAATTAATTTAACAAGGATTTATTGAATGTATGCTTTGTACCAAGCTTCTAAGTGCTGGAGATACAGCAGGAGACAAAATTCCTGATGCTTTAAATCTATAATACATTAAAAGGAGACCAACGAACAAAACAAAGTCAAATAAAAGAAAGTAGTGTATAGACTATAACTATGAATTGAAATAAATTAAGTGACTGAATAACTACTACAGCTGGTCAGAAAGGCTTTTCTAGAGAGCTGAAATTCTAACTGAATATAAATGTCTATCCTGTAGAAATTCTGAAGACTATTCCAGGCAAAGGGGCATCTAATGTAAAGTCTCTGGTAGAAATGAATGTGTTGTGTTGTTGCAAGAACTGAAAGACCATGTATTTAAAACACTGGATTAGGGGGAAATTGAATAAGGTTAGATCACAAAGGTAATCAGTGGCCAGGATATGTATTCTAAGCATGACGAGTGCCACTGGAAGGGAGAAACATCCCATGCTTGTTTTTAAAAGATCATTCTGGCTCCCTAAAGAGGCAAGATTGCAAAAAAAAAAAAAAGTGAAGGGAGACCAGTCAAGAGATCACTGCAGTAACCTAGGTGAGAGAAGGTGATGGCATGGACCATGGATTTGCAGTGGACATGAAGAGAAACATTCAAGGAACATTTTGGAGATAAAGCCAGGGAAACTTGCAGATTGTGACAGATTCCTAAAATTCTTACATGAAAAAATGTTACGTATTAAGCATAAAATTGTTGGTTTTGTTTGTCAAATACCAAATATTTCAAAGGATTTAACCTAATAGAAACAAAATAAGGACAGACAATTTAGAGGACTGTAACAGGAGGTGGTACTTCGAAGTGGGTCTTTGTATTAAAATGAAATTTTGTATTATTTTCTCTTTAAAAGCATGTAGAAAGCATCCTTTGTCAAGGACCCTCTGTCTAAAGGCAAGCTGACCACAAACCAGGTAAGATTCAGAACACTGCTACAATAATGTCTTTGTACATACCTAAACTTCATCTATATAGTGCGTTTCCTAAGCTGTTAAAATCAGGTTGTCAGTGAAAGGCAACAGAGCACAGAGGTTCAGAGAAGAGTGCCCGAGTATGAATCCATGTTTTGCCAGTTACTAGTTATATGACCGTGGGTAATGCACTTACTCTTTGTGTTTCGGGTTCTCCATTTGTAAAATGGTATTATAATGGTATCTGCCTCATAAAGTCGGAGTTAAATGAATGACCAAATACAAAAGGTTTGGAACAGTGCCTGACACACAGTTACATGTTACATGTCTTAGCACGGTTAGGAGTTTTTGTTAGCATTAAATTCAGCATTTTCTTCCCAGAAAAGCTGCTTAGGGCTGGGAGCATGAATCAGTGATAGAGCCTAGCAAGCATGAAACCCTGAGTTCAAACTCCAGTACCACCCCCTCCCCCCAAAAACCTGCTAAATCAGCTAATTGGCCTTTGATCTTTATGACTCATTGCGTTGTTTTTGTTATATTTTTACATAATACCCATAATGTTAACAATTACCATAATTCTGAACTACTCCCTAAATACCTAACCACAATCCCAACTCGGGCAGTGCAGCTTGTCCACTGGCAACCACCCCCAACCTTGCCCTCTTTCCGACCCTCACCCTCCCAGGCCATTTTCAGGCCCAGGAAGCTTTGCGATTTAGGAGCCACTCTGAAACCGTTAGCAACCGGAAGTGGGTAGCAGTCACAAAAGAACGCGGAAAAGGGCGCCGACTTTTCCTGGCTCCGGAAACACTGGCGTTCCGGCAGGAAAAGAGACCCAAGGCCCCACATGAAGAAAGAGGAGACTCGTTTTGATGCGTTTCGTAAACCGTCCCTCCACCACCGCCGACCCGTGCGAACCGGGCTGCCTGGGGACCCGCATTTACGGCGGGCGGAACCTTCCTATCCCGGTCCTCTCCGCGGGGCCGGCCCAGCCTGCGGCTTCCTAAGAGCTGGAGTGCAGCGGGCGCGGGCTCTCGGGGCGGAAGCCGGCTCCCGGGGCGCCGGGAGGGACGCGGTGTTCACAGCCGCAGCCTCAGGAGCCTCATCCCGCCGCGGTCGAGGAAGGCAGGGTTCTGCTGTCGTCCAGCCGGGTCGCAGGCCCCCGCTTTTCCGGGAGAAGAGCGGGCTGGGATGTCGGCGATCGACGTTGAACACAACGCACACTGCGATCTGGCAGGACCTTGCGGACTCGGTGGCTTGAATTTGTCTCATCCGTAGGAAATGAGGACCCAGAGCGAAACAGGTGGTGTGGACGCTAGAATCCTTGAAACCAGGGTTCACATTCTGACTCGACCACTCCCCAGGACAATCAAAAACAAACAAAAAACCTCTCCAAACCTGTTTCCCGGTTTGTGGAAATCAGGAGAGTAACCTGAACACTCCCGGCCCTGCGCGGTGTCTGCTGTCACGCTCCTCCGTGTCAGACAAACGGGACTCATTAGCCACTTTCACTTTTGTGGAGCACGGGCAAAAAGTGAGGGCTCGGGCGGGGGAGAAACCAGGACCGGGAAGAATGCAAGCTACTGACGGTTATTGTGCGCTGGGCGCTTGGTAATAAGTACTTTGGCTGAATGAAGATCCGTCTAAGAAGGGATTAAGAGAAGCACAGAAAGGAGCAAATGAGTCCGGTGGATAAATTTAGCTAGTTTACAAAACAAGTCAAACTCACTTTCCCTGTCATAACTGAATGGCACGTGCATATTTCAAGGGCTGCTACGTACTAGAATGTGGAAGGAGATCTCAGAACCAATATTAAACACCTAAACTGAGGATTCGTTAATCTATTTGACAACAAATGTGATAATAGCAAGTAATAAACGACAATATGCTCAATACAAAATAGAATGCTAAAATCAGAGAAAGCCGTTACAGAATAATAGACCAGTGTTTAGCTCAAATGAGAAGTCCTTTGATTCGGGAGTACTGAAGAAAAGGGAAGGGAGATGGATATTCTGGAGAGCAAGAAAAGGCAGACAGGATTACTGGTGGTAGAAAAAAAGGAAAATATCTAAATGGTCTTTCCGTAGAAGAACAATTACATTTGCCATATCCTGTTGTGGAATGCCATTCAGCTATTAAAATGATAAATTATCAATGAAAAATAGTGTCACAAGATACATATACATATGTATGTATATATACATATATATTCCCTTTTAGAAGAAAACTTCATAGATGGGAGTAATTACGTATGGTATTTGTACATGTAAAGAGAACAATGCACTCCAAACTTGACAGTCATTACTCCTACTTGAAAAATCAGGAAGGTCTGCCTCTACTTGAAAGCTAACAATTTAACCTGTCACCATGTTTTTGTGTGTTTGTGGTGCTGGGGATTGAACCTATGGTCTATGTGCATGCTAGGCAAGTGCTCTGCCACTAAGCTACATTCCCAACTCTTAACTTGCTACAGTGTTATGGGAACTGGCAGAAGACACCAGACTACGAGGTTATTACTTATTAACACAGGCATCATGAGTTTCATGTTGTCCCCAACCCACAAAGATGATGTGGAGGACACCGAGTGGATGTTGTTCACACAATGCCGTTGTATCCTAGCAGAGAAACCTCAAGCTTAGGAAACAATCTTTGTTCAGTCTTGTCCCAGAGTGAGGCATTATCTTTACTATTCTGCTTGAAAACAAATCTCCAAAAGTAGATACAAGCATCCTTAAAAATATAATCTGAGAAATATCTGCCACCAGACAAGAGAAATTAAAAATTTGGGGGAATTCTCTTCCAGTGCTCTAGGTTATAGCACTTGGGGTGCAGAAGTCATTTTTTAAAATCATGTTTTATTATTTTAATATTTCAAAGTATAAAAACAAGAAGGCAACAGAGAACTTTAAATTTGTTTTAAGGATTGGTTAGGATCCATTAATTTAAAAAAGAAATTAAGGCAAAGGGACTAGAGGAGTGGCTCAAGTGGTAGTGTCTGCTTTGCAAGCTTGAAGCCCTGAAATCCCTCCACTATTACCAATAATAATAATAATAATAATGTGAAGTTTGGGGAGGAAACCTGAAAAGTCATTAAAAATAAGTAGTTGAAGAATGATGGAGGGGATGAATCCAAATATGATATAGTTTAAGAACTTTAGTAAATGCCACACTGTACCCCCAGTGTAAAAATGGTATAGTTATAAAAATGGGTGGTTGGAAAAGGTACCAAAGGAATAATGCAGAACCAAGAGAACAAACGTTTCCCGCAACCTCCACCCCCCCACACACACATTCCTATTTAGTCTGAAAAGTTAGAAGACATTTATAGAAACATATAAAGAATGAACACAGGCTCGTTTCCTGAACTATGCAGTCTTAAAACTAGGGTCTATTCCTGAAGATTACACCACAGACTTAACTTTTAAAAAGCTAAACTGTAAAACAAGTTTTTCTAAAATTGCAATTCGTTAGGATGGGAAAGGGTGAGAAATATGTAAAGATACAAAAGAATTCATATGTAATTACTTTCCAATTTTGAACAGTATAAGGTGTACTATTCCTAGGTGCCATAAGGGATTCGCGGAACTATGAAATATGATTAGGAATTCCTAAGGTATAGTATTCCTAGGTGCCATAGTAGATTCGCAGAACTACAAAATAGGATTAGCAGGAATTTCTCAAATTTGAAGTCTATGATGGAGGACTGGATAAATTTATGGAGAACAGAAAAGTGCAGAGTATTTAAGATGATCAAACACGAGTCCATTTAATTGACATCCTTAGGATCCATGAAGTGCTCCCTCGGGTTCCCAAGCCCCGCCGTCGGCACTCCTGCAGATCTATCCGTTGGGGACCGTTACCCTTGCCCGAAGGTGGCCAGGCGCTCAAAGCGTAGGTGACAGAAAGGTGTGTTATTTCTCAGAATGCTCACGGACCGCGACAGCAGCTAAGACGTGGGAAGAGCTCAAGGCACCGCGCACTGCCCAAAGGATTGAGGTGCCTGTGTCCCCGGTGTGGGCCGACCATAGAGCTTTCAGACCTCCCGGATTCCTAGAGAGCTTCCGGAAGTGCCTTTGGGGCAAGATGAGTGCTGGCCGGTGTGGTACCTCGGCAGGTTTGGAAGTTAGTGGCTGGAGGGGCCTGGTCCCAGTGCTGCTGTTGTCGGGTTCCCTCCCCGCGCTTCCTCGGGGTCTGGCCCCCTTTGCGCCTCCCGTCCCCACCGCGGGCAGCCTCCGGAACTCACGGTGAGCGCGGTCGGGCTCCGGGCCGGAGGAAGGGGTCGCTTTGTGGCCGGAGCAGGCCGCAGCCGCAGCCGGGCCTGAGGGGTCGGGAGAGGGGTCCGTGGGGGTCGGCGCCCGGGCTGGTTGGCACGCCGCGGGGCCGCCGTGGTTGCACTCAGGCGAAGTACGCATCCCTCAACTTTTTGCCAGGCGACTTTTAATGGGGCTCGGCTTTCTTCACAGCCAATCGTTTTGTGCTGTTATTTTGCGGTCGCTCTTATTTGTCGCGACTTGAGGTACTTCCCCCACGTTATCTTTTTTTTTAAACATCCTTATTAGCATATGTTAGTTGTACAGAGGGGATTCATTTTGATATTTACATATCTGCTTATAATGCATCTTAATGAGATTCACCCCCCTCCTTCATTCTCCCTCGTTCTTCCTCATACCCCTTTCCCCTCTTCTTAAAACCCCGCGTTATCTTTTATCCAACTGTCCACAGTCTGAATTGTTTTAACTTAGCAATTTTGTGTTTCGGTTTCAGTAAAATCAGAGACAGGTTTTGCTTTTGAAGCCCCAGTTATCCATAAATACCTTCTGTTTCTGCTGTTAGGTTATTCTGATCTTTTTAGTGTATTTTGAAAATGATGGTATGTTGACTGAGTAATTGTACAAAAGAAACATTTTCAACAGTTTCAGGGTACAGGGAATTCAACCATATTCAGAATACTTTGCTTACTTAATGTTTAAAGGCTAATTGAGGTAGATACCTGAGAGCTCTTTGGTAGGCGCCCCATTTTCAAAACTGAAGTCGGTCATGAGTGTTGTCAGACTACTTTAAGATTGACAGCACCAGCTCCTAGAAAGTATTTCTGTTGTTTGATTAATTTACTTGAAAGTATTTATGTAACAGTCGTTATTTTAGTAAATACAGGCATTTTGAATTTCTGTAGTAAAACGTGAAATGTGATAGATGTCAAAACAGTCAGCTAGTGCAAGTTGAGATGACTACAAACATAACATTTGCTTCATCTCCCTTTCCTTTTCATCTTTAAAGTCTGGAAAATGTCTTGTTTTATTCTCAAACATTTCTCAAATTAGACTTAATTAGTTCAAAGGAAGAATTCATTCCTTCTCCGTCTATTGAAAAATTATGCTGTTAAAGTTGAATTGTGCCTTCAGTAATTCACAGTTATAGTTCTTGAGATGCAGAAGAAGCTTTAAAGATTGTCTCTTTTAAATTCATAAATCCATAAACCTGACTAGATGTTGTTTAAGGAGAATATGTGGCCACAAGTGCTTATCAACTTAATACAGGTGTATACACCTAGAATTATGGGAGAGGAAAATTCATAGTGGACTAACTTTGTACTGTTATAGATTGTAATTCTCAAAAACTTTTCAAGTTTTTGATTGGACAAGGAAGAGACTATAAAATGTAATATTAACCACCAAAAAAAAATGAAGGGGCTGGGTGCTGTGGTACATGTCTGTAATTCTGGCACCCAAGAGGTTGAGCCAGGAGGATCACCAGTTTAAGGGCAGCCTGGACTACATAACAAGACCTGTCTCACAAAAAAAAAAAAAAAAAAATCAAGATGGGAATAGACAAAAACTGTTGAATAGTTAGGTATAAAATACAAACAAATCTAATAATTAGGTGATTTTTATCAGTGTCATTTTTAAGACTTTAATACCACATAACAATATAAAGTTCTTGAGTGGTGCACACATTGAAGTTTTTGATAGCTACTATTCACAAGGATTGATTATATAATAGTTGTTCAGTAGTTAAAAATTAATTTTGACTTTAAGAAAACATGACAGGACCATAATAACTATGTAGCATCACATTCTCAAATTACACACACACACATAATCTTGGCATCTTGCCCGAATACACTCTTACCCCATTCTCATTATTTTAGCAAATCCCTCCACATCGCTATAAAGTCATAGTCCATGAATTAGATTCCAGAAGTCAGTAGCTATACTTAACTGTAAACAGTTAACTCTTGCTCATTGGTTCTTCTAAACTGTAGTTTACCCCCACCCCAATACACACTATTCTTAGCCTTGTCAAACTTTGAAGATAATTTTCAAATTCCTTTCATTTACTTTACATACTCAAATAGGGGTTTTTTTTTTAAGCCTTCTTCGTGTTCTTAAACAGATTTCAAGTCTATAAATTCTGCTGCAATTGAATGTAAAATTTTGTATCTTTGGGCATTTTTCTGAGGAAAATCTGTTTTCATTAGATTGAGGAGTTCCATGAACCAATCAACCCCACCACCAAAAAAAAAAAGATAAAAAAGTACTTCTTCGAACACTTATGTCAGGAACTGTACGTAATCAGATTGTCTTCCGAAGTGCCTATCTCTTTCTCTTTGTGGACTGTGTAGGTCTGTGTTTTTATATTGATGTTAGCATCCTCTGCTAACTGCTTTTGGATCTGCCTGTGATTTCACTCTTCTCCATTCTTCACAACACTGCCATTGTGATCTTCCTAGCATACAGATAGGCCGTATAACTTCCCTAACTTAAAGAGAAATTCAAAGTAAAAGGTTAGTGTCACAAATAAATGTTCACAAGAAGGCTGTAGCTATAAGCAGGCATTTATAATATTCAACACAATGTGGTAAGTCTTTATTTGGGGCATGTGGGAAATACTTTGACAGAAATGAGCACCTTAATCCACTGGGGGATTGGGGAATGACAGAGAACTCATGAAAAAGGTGATAGACAGGTTAGAGTTAGATGTGAATGGTTTTAGGATTTATCAGTTTTGGCATTTATTAAGCTTTTGACACTTTAGGCCAAATAATTATTTTGTTGTAGGGGCTATATGTTGCATTGACAGGTGTTAGTAGCATTTCTAGCTTTTAGGCACTATGTAATAGTAGCACGCCATTCCCCTAGTTGTGACATCCAGAAATATTCCCAGGCATTGCCAAAGGCCCCTGGTATGGGGGAGCAGAGTTGCCCCTGATTGGGAATCAGTGAGCTCTAGAGCAAAGAGCTCTGTAGAAAAGAATAGGAAAAAGTCATGGTCAGAAGAGGCTATGCAAATGTGAGTTTACAACAGATACAGCTAGTCAAGGCTTTGCAAAAGAGTTTGCTTCCCCTATTGAAAGATTTTAAGGCGGTAAGTCATATCATGTATTTGTTAAAAGTCTTCCTGTTGTATATTAGTTTTCTAGGGTTATCAGAGTATCACAATACTATAGTAATTTATTCTTTGACAGGGAGGCTAGAAGTCCAAAATGAAGGTATCCTCAGGGTCATGCTCTCTACTTTCTGGTTGTCACCTGGAATCCTTGGTATGTCTTGCCTTGCAGCTGTATAACTCCACCTTTACCTCCATAGTAAAATAGTTCTCTTCTGTGTATGTGTCTGTGGCCTCACACAAATGTCTCCTTCTGTGTCTGTCCCTTTGTCTCTTAAAAATACAACAGTCACATTGGATTAAGCATCTACCTTATTCCAATATAACTTCATATAACTGTCTGCAAAAACTATATTCAACACAAATTCAATTCCAGGAAGTTTTGTAAGGATAAACAAGCTGATTCAAAAATGTATATCAAAAGGCAATAAAACTAGAAAAGCCAAAGTAGTTTCTAAAACAAACAACAAAGTAGTAGGACTCAAACTACTTGATTTCAATATTTGAAAATCCACCATAATCAAGACAGGTTGTATCAGTGAATTAGATCCTTATATTTTATGGTTAGTTGATTTTTGACTGAGATGAAAAGATAATTCAGTGAATAAAAGATAATCCTTTCTGCAAATGGTGCTACAACAATTTGTTATCTGTATACAAGAGGGAGGAAAAAAAGAAACTCTATCCATACCCCAACTCTATACAAAAATTAACTCAAAATAGATCCTAGTCCTAAATATAAAACATCATACAACTTTTAAAAGAAAAATCTTTGTGACTCTGGGTTAAACGAAAATTTCTTAGGTATGACATCAAAAACACAACCCTTAAAAAGAAAAAAACTAAATTACATTTCAAAAAAATTATTAATTTCTATTCTTCAAAAGCAACTTTTAAAAGAGTAAAAGTGAGGAAATATTTGTAAATCACACATCTCACAAAGTATCCAAAACATATAAGGAATTCTCAGAAAAAAAAAATCAATTAAGAAATAAAATTAGGATGGTAGTACACACCTATAATCCCAGCTCTCAGAAAGCTGAGGCCAGAAGATTGCCAGTTTAAGGCTAGGCTGGAGCTACCTACTGAAACCTTGTCTCAAAAAAAAAAAAAAAAACAAAATTTCAAATAGATACTTTGTCAAAAAAAATGAACAGATGACAAATAAGCACATAAACATAAAAAGATGATCATCTGGGCTAGAGGTGTGCCTCAAATGATACAGTACCTATCTAACAAGTGCAAGGCCCTACGCTCAAACCCCAATACTTGGGGCAGGGGGGCGCTGAAGATGCTCAACGTAGTAAAGAAATAACAAATCAAGGCACAAACCTATTAGAAAATCTAAAATATGAAGAAATAAAAAAAATGTCAAGTGCTGGTGAGTCTAGGGAACAAGTTCAACTCATTTCGAGTACAATGCAAAATGTTATAGCCACATTGGAAAACAGTTTACAGTTTCTTATGAAGTTACATATATACTTTATGACCCCAATAATTTTACTTCTGGATTTTATCCAAGTGAAATAAAAATAATGTTCACACAAAAATCACATATACATATTAGTGGCTTTATATGTTTTGATCAAAAACTGAAAACAAGTCAAAATCCCATCTGGTGAGGAATGAATAAACATACATTTGTATAAGGAACAAACTGCTGATACATACAACATTGATTAATAGCAAATGTAATGTACTAAGTGAAAGATGTCAGACTCAGAAGAAAATACACTTTTTATTTATATAACATTCTGGAAGGTCATTGGTATATGGGATTAGATTTTTGCATTGAAAGTATTTATGTGGCATCTAGGTTCTTTGGATGTACACTGCTTCAAAGAATTTCTAGAGCTAAAGTCTAAAGTAGACCTTGAGATAGGAGAGAAGATGGGGAGCACAAGCAGGATATTGAATGTTAGGTAGAAAAGAAGAAAGTTCTTATCAATACTTTAAGCTGCATAATGTGGAAGTTAGTCTCATCTATTGAAAATGAGGGAAATTCTGAGAACTGAAGTGTATTGAAACAGTTTAGTGTAGCTGGTGTAACAAATGCTACTAGAAGTTAAATCAGCAGCACTGAGGACCACCCAAAGTTAGATACAGAATTTCAGTTAGACCTGCAGATGGAAGGGATTACTCAATGGGTAGGTTTGACATAGCAGATTAAAGAGGTAGAGTTATTTCTGGAACACTGAAGAGGATCATTTAAATAGCTGAGATGAAGTCTGTGTCATGGGGGTTGGAGGAAGCTTATTAAGATATCTTATGCTTTTTGACTTTTTTTTTTTTTTAACTTCCTTTAATACTGTCATTTTCTATTCTGGAAGAAGTACCCTTGAGTGTTCAGAAGGTTCTCCTCTTAAGAAGTTAAAGAAGGTAGTGGAAAAGAACCACCTGAGCTTTTCCATCCCTAAATGGCTACAGAATCAAGAAAGTCTTCTTCAGTCCCATCTCCACCAGACCAGGCTCCTGAAGAGGATCTTGTCATTGTCAAAGTAGAAGAGGATCATGATTGGGACCAGGAATCTAGCCTGCATGACAATAACCCTCCTGGCCAAGAACTATTTCGCCAACGCTTCAGACAGTTATGCTACCAGGAGACACTGGGACCCCGAGAAGCTCTGATCCAGCTTCGGGCACTTTGCCATCAGTGGCTTAGGCCAGACTTAAACTCCAAGGAGCAAATCCTGGAGCTTCTGGTACTAGAGCAGTTCCTGACAATCCTGCCAGAGGATCTGCAGACTCTGGTTAAGGAGCATCAGTTAGAAAATGGAGAGGAGGTGGTGACCCTATTGGAGGACTTGGAAAGGCAGATTGATATACTAGGACGACCAGTAAGTAGGGGTGTGCATGCTGTGACTGGAAGTCCTGGAAGCCGGGTGGAGGGACATTGGCTTCATTGTGGGAGAGTAAATGCTGAGCTTTGGTTTCTTTTGGGTAAGGATGAAAATAGTTATCCTCATGTTATATCTTATATTTGTAGATAACTTTATTGTTGTAAAGAATATAGTCCATTTTTTATTCTTATAACATCCCTACAAATGTAATATTGTTCTGTTTGTCTGATGGGAACCTGATACATAAGGAGCTTAAATCACTTTACAGGAGCACCCAAATAATTAAAGATGGATATGGACCAGAACTCAGTTCCTTATCAAAAGGTTTTTGCCACTGTATGGCACTGCTCTAAGTTTCTGTTTGTCATTCTTTCTCTCCTATCTTGGGAACACAAAATACTGGTATTCTATATAGCAGGGAGGAAGGACATCAATAGAAAACTTTTCCTTCATTGCTAAGTAGAAACAGTGCCTTGCTTTCTGTGCCTGCCTACTTTTTTGTGTTCCTTGCTGCCCATAGGAAGTAAATGAGATTCTGCTGCTTGCTTCTCTAAGCAAGAACTTCTTTAGGTGAGCTATTGATCCTGGTACATTGTCCACTTCATTTCTCAAAGAGATTCCTTATAACCCAGATGTCCCATTATTTCCAGGTCCCAGCTCGTGTACATGGGCATAGGGTACTTTGGGAGGAGGTAGTGCCTCCAGAATCTGCACCGGAACCTCCAAATACTCAGCTCCAACCTGTGGCAACCCATCATATCTCTCCAGTGCCCCAAAGACAACAAGAGAAAGGTGAGAAGCCAGATTTCAATGGTAAAGATGAGGAAATTAAAAAAAGAAAGGCATACATTTGGGATATCGCTCTTGTTCCTAGAATCACTATTTACATACCCGTCCCAATACCTGGGTTCAAAATAACTAGGCTTCAAATATAAGTTGATAGTCCTAGTAAACTTTATGAACAAATGAACAACTTGAGGGTTTTCATGTATTCACACATTTCTGCTACTCCAGCATGTTTACAATGTGGACATTTTTGAGATTTTGTTAGCATCACACCACTTTATTTGTGACTATTTTAGTATTTCCTTAGATAACCACAATAAAATTAACACAATTAGAAGAGGTAATATTAAAATAATTTAGTCCACAGTTATGTTTTTCCAGTTGTCCCAATAATGTTTTTTTGGTCCAGAGTCTAGCCTAAGGTCAGACTGTGCAATTAGACATAATTCTCTTTAGTCTCCTTTAACTTGGCATAGTTCCTTAGCCTTTCTTTTCCCTTCACAGTCTTGACACTTTCAAAAAATACAGGTTAGTTATTTTGTAAATGGCTGCAATTTGGATTTGCTTGTTATTTTCTAACATTTCAATTCAGGTTATATATATTTGGCAGGAACACTCCAGAAATTTGTCCCAATAGATGTTATCTTCAATGACTTGGTTAAGGTTAATATTGCTTGGCTAATCACTATAAAGTTAATATTTTTCCCTTTGTAGCTAACAAGTAATTTGTGGGGAAATATTTTTCAATCTGTATAAATATCCGAGTTCTCATCAAACTTTGTTGCTAGAACACTGGTTTCAACATTTATTGCTTCTTGACTGAGTCAATGGTTACTAAGCCAGTTACGAAACAGTGACTTTCTAACTGTGTCATTTCCTCTACATTGATTTGCTGTTTATTTTAAGAGACAGTATTCCCTTTACCCCAATTTATTTTGTTGCTATTATTTTTTAATTTATCACTGTGGACTTATAAATTCTTCCTTATTACATACATTTTCTGTTACTGTCTTTATTTTGATGTTTAAATCACCTCAGACTTGACCAGAGGAAACTCCTTAAGTTTGGCTCCTATGTCTTTTTGACATTTCTCCATCATTTTTTGAGAATTACCATATTTTCTTACAGAATAAGATGCTCTAGTCTCATTTCCCTCTGTATTTTATATTTTTTCACTTATGTAGTTTAGTTTGTTTCATATAAGTAAAGTTTTAATATTTCTATAGAAGCATAGATACACTTTGAATTAGTAATATAATTCTTTTCCGAAGTCCTAAAGCTTATTGCCCAAAACACATGTTGGTTGGGCATACTGTTGATTTTCATAATAAACTGTCTGATATCCACAGGAATCAGATACTGGCAGGTATGATAGACATTTCAGAAAGGAAATTGAGTAAGAAGAAATAGGTTAGTTCTTATATTCAGTTTGCTAGGATATCAGGACCTAAAGAAGTACTATACACAAGCACAAAGATGGTAGTTTTGGTGGTAGAAAAGAAATTGGAAAGTAATTCCTGATCAGAAATCAGTACACTTTATATTTTTGACTGTAACTTCAGGCTAAGTTCAAGAATAGCAAAGTAAAGATGTTCTGTGGGCAGTCATAGATATGGGCCTAGAATCTAAGATGTCAGTACTTTATATGCAAAACCTTTGGCACACATGTGTACTAGAGTACCGATAATTTGTAATGGGTGAGTGCTGGCTTCCACAGCCACAGGACAGAGCTGGTCTCATTCACAGCTCCTTTCTCCTCTCTCAGCCAAGTCTACTTCTCAGAGTCCTACTCCATCCCAGAAAGGAAGTTCTGGAGACCAGGAGATGACAGCTACACTTCTTACAGCAGGGTTCCAGGTAAGTTGTGCTCCTTCTCACTAAAACCTCATATCTCTGGTTGGTTGTGTTTGTGGCATCTGCCCCATAACTGGACTGACTGTAGCAGTACCTATGCAAGAACTTGCCCCAAATTCTTTCACATAATGACAAATTGACCTTCAATTTCCCCCAATAAATCTAATGCATTTTCCTCTTCTTCCCTTTACATAGTACATTCCCAGCCCTTAGTCCTCTCCCAACACTAGTAGTTCTCTCTGGCACTTTAGGTTTGAGCTGTGGAACAGTTTCAGGCCCCAAATCAGAGTCTTGTTTTGTTTCAGACTTTGGAGAAGATTGAAGACATGGCTGTGTCTCTTATTCGAGAGGAGTGGCTTCTTGATCCATCACAGAAGGATCTGAGTAGAGACAACAGGCCAGAGAATTACAGAAACATGTTCTCCCTGGGTAAGGAGAGCTATGGTTATTATTACAATTTAAGAATTTTTGGGAGCATGCTCAAGCAGTAGAACACCTGCCTAGCAAGCACGAAGACCTGTTTTCAAACCACAGTACCACCAAAAAAAAGAAAAGAAAAACAACCACAAAATTTTATTTTCTTTGTTAGGTGTATGGTAGCTGTGAGCTTTTCTGGAAGCCATAGTTGAGATAGTTGAGTTTAAACTCAGAAAACAATACAGAAATATGGGTTTGAGAATTATTGATGTCTAAGCCAAAACGTTTTGTTTTCTAATCCAAGAATTCCTTACAGTTTTTCACTGAGTATTGTTCTGTTTGCCAGTTGAAAATTGACATCTCTCTAGTGCTGAATTCATACATTTCTTCTCAAGTTCCCATAGGATCTTTACATAAATTTTTTTTTTCACATAAGCCTCTTGTGCCTCTTCCTTTTTCAGCACTGTTTACTGCATTTGCCCATTTCTATCCTGCCCATTAGATCTTTAAGTAGTTCCGTACTGCTTCCCATTCTAGTTCCACTTCTCAGTTGATCCCTTCCCAACTTTAGTCCCCCTTCAGTAACCCTCTTTTTTCATGGCATCTCCTCTCTAGCTGGCTTGTGGTACTTTGGTTTGATCCTGCACATATCTGCCCTTTATTTTGAAGCCATTTTGGAGACAGAAGTTTTTGTTTACTTGTAGTTATTTCTTGTGTACTTTGCTTTTCCCCTGTCTTTAATTCTTTTCTCCTAGCATAGACAATATAAAGTGACATTGACTTGATGTTTACTTATTACATTTCTGTTTCAGGTGGTGAGACCAGGAATGAGAACAAGGAATTAGCTTCAAAACAGGTAATATCTACTGGAATCCAACCACATGAAGAGCCAACTGCCAAATGCAACGGGGATGTTATCGGGGGTCTTGAGCATGGAGAAGCCCGAGATCTTCTGGGCAGATTAGAGAGGCAGCGGGGAAATCCCACACAAGAGAGACGACATAAATGTGATGAATGTGGGAAAAGCTTTGCTCAGAGCTCAGGCCTTGTTCGCCATTGGAGAATCCACACAGGGGAGAAACCCTATCAGTGTAATGTGTGTGGTAAAGCCTTCAGTTACAGGTCAGCCCTTCTTTCCCATCAGGATATCCACAACAAAGTAAAACGCTATCACTGTAAGGAATGTGGTAAAGCCTTCAGTCAAAACACAGGCCTGATTCTGCACCAGAGAATCCACACTGGGGAGAAGCCTTATCAGTGCAATCAGTGTGGGAAGGCTTTCAGTCAGAGTGCGGGTCTTATTCTGCACCAGAGAATCCACAGTGGGGAGAGACCCTATGAATGTAATGAATGTGGGAAAGCTTTCAGTCATAGTTCACACCTCATTGGACATCAGAGAATCCACACTGGGGAGAAACCCTATGAGTGTGATGAGTGTGGGAAAACCTTCAGGCGGAGCTCACATCTTATTGGCCATCAGAGAAGCCACACTGGGGAGAAACCCTACAAATGTAATGAGTGTGGGAGGGCCTTCAGTCAGAAGTCAGGCCTAATTGAACATCAGAGAATCCACACTGGAGAAAGACCCTATAAATGTAAAGAATGTGGGAAAGCTTTCAATGGGAACACTGGCCTCATTCAACATCTGAGAATCCACACAGGGGAAAAACCCTATCAATGCAATGAGTGTGGGAAAGCCTTTATTCAGAGGTCAAGTCTCATTCGACATCAGAGAATCCACAGTGGAGAAAAGTCTGAAACCATAGGAGTTTAGAAAAAGCTTTGGTCTTATGGTTTCAGGAAACCATGCACTGGTGGAAAGATCTTTTAATGTAGTAAAAAAGGCAGAAAGTTTGTCATTATCTAGTGATAGAATCTATAATGGTGGCAAAGTTAAGACTAGATCTTCAGTAGTTGGGGCCCAGTGCCTTGATGCAGGTTGATTAGCTTGACTGTTTGGGGAAGTATCTGATGAAGTGACACTCCCAACAGCGTAATATATCCTTTAAAAATTTTAAATAACATTTTAGCAAGTTGCTTGTTGTGGCTTGAGGCACTAAACTTTGTCATTTGGGTGAATAGCTGTAGGTTTGAGAGAGGCTGCTACTCTTAGCTCCTCTGCTTCTTCCCATCTCCTATGATCCTCTTCTCCCATTTACTCCCCTGAAGGTGCCCTTGTTAACTCCTAATCTGATCTAAGAAGCTGCTTTACAGTCAAAAGCAGACTTCAATAAGACTTATATTTGTATTTAGCTTTCTAAGAGCCTAGTTCTAGGAAATTTTTATAGACACTTAATGTATTTATGCTTAAGTGTTTCATTTTTTTATTCTAATATTCATTCTATTTGGTGGAAATCCATATTCCCATGCAAACTCAGAATGCTATATTTTTAACAGCACGCCAGCATTTTTCTTCATTTATCACCTTTCCTGACTCCACGGAGTCATTGATCATCTGTCCGTATCCTTCACCACCCCCAGTCCCAGTACCTGTGTCAGCAAAGGAAGTGGACGCATTAGTGGTGCTTGAGTGAGTGATGCAGAAAAAGAGGTGAGTGGAGACTCAGCCTGACTGATCTTGAGCTTGGATGGTTGTACCTTGTGGTGACTCTGACTCTCCTTCCACCTCTCCTACATACGAAAGGTATTTGTACTGTCCCATTTATGGCATCACGTAGAACAAAGAGGAGACAGAAGTGCTTGAAGAAGACAAAAACCTTTACAAAGAATGTACATCATCCCTTTTGGTCCATTACAGTTCTGCTATCTCAGGTTCCTATCACCTTGCACAAACTCCCTGACTTGTCACTTGTCATTACCGTAGACCCACCTTCTTTGATGGCCTCATCACCTCCTTCATTGTTTTCCATCAGTTTCTTGCCCTTCTTTTGTATAACTTAAATATCCACAGTAGTAATCTGTCAGATATCTTATCTACAGTTCCTCATTCTTCTGAATTCTGGTGCACTCCCTCAGTAATTTGTGTTCTGTAATCTGCCAACAGACATACTGTTAAACTGATCATCACCAGGTACTATATTTCATCTTTGAGGCTTTCAATATCCCAAGGGGTACTGTATAAAGTAATGAGACTGGTTCAAAGTAACATGCCAAATCTTATGCATCCAAAATGGTGTGTCATTTAAATTACATAGTTCTACTGATTTTAAACTACTGTTATTCTAATAGTGCTACTATTCCTCCAAATATTGGAATGTTCTTAAAATTCCTATTGAATAAACTGTGCAAGAAAACCTGTACATTAATTACATTTCATTTGGACCATTTGATTAGCCACTTATTTTACTGGGCTTAAAATTGAATAAATTTTGCTTTACAGAATTAACCCTCACACTTGAAATTATTCCATTAAGCCTGTTCAGAAGACAATTATGTAGGTTCTGATGAAAATTCCAAGAAAAATAACATAATTTCACACTGTGACTATCCTAGAAAGGGATTTTATGACCTCATAGAGGTCTACCTTTTGGATCATAAATTCTTCTCTATAACATCTCTCTACCTCCCTATGGCCCACGTTGACACTAACAACATCAAGGTCATCTACATTTATTTCATCAAGTCATTGGTACATACTCATCACTTGTCACCCTAGTTTCCTTGGTTAGCTTTTCCAAAAACTTTATTTCATTATCCTTTTTTTTTTGATGGCATAGATAATCATTTGTAACTCCCTGTAATTAAAATTAAAATTTCAAGAAACCAGTTGTGTCTAGATCCTTGCTCCCTGCTTCAGTTGTGCCTTAACCTCTGTAAGATACTAATCTGCCTAGGGCCAGTGCTTCCTTGTGTTCAAAAATTATATAGAATGGGTAAGTTGTCAGAGAGAAAATAAATGTGTGTATGCACATGTCTGTGTACACATCCCCTCCTCTCAGATGCTTTCGTGGAACACTCGCCTTCTATTTCAATAAGTAGCTCTTTTAGCAGAGCAACATAATAAAATATATGTAGATGTAGCTGCCAGTGTCTCTCTAGGCATTAGTACCCAGAGTAATGTATGGCCAGATTTCTTAAATTTCAGAATTGTTAAGCATCTGGCAGAAATTCAGAGGGAAAAAAAAAAAAACTATTTTGAGTAGGAAGATTAGTGTTATGCTGGCGTAAATGTGAGAAAAGATTGTCACTTAAAAGTTATCAAAGCTAATTCAGCATATATATAGAAATAGCCAAATGGTATAAAATAATAGAAGGTTGAATTCATAGCAGACCTAAGTAGACACCATTCTTGATCTTGAGTTGTCTTAGCATTAGAATATTATTAATCTGTATGACATTATTTTGAGCTTTCAACTATGAATGGCATGCATTATGTTTCTTTATCCTGTAGATTCTATTTTTATACTCTCAATCTAAAATGATTATTCATCAATACTTTTCCCATCCTCAGCATCTCATTTTAGGAACTGGCACAGTAAAGTGGTTCTTCCATAACTTGCCATCCAATATATCCCTGGGAGATTCAAAGAATTTCTCAATGAACCAAGATGACCATGTTAGACTATGGCGATTGAGTCCCATATGGAACAGTTTAGCTTTACTCTTGGTTCTAAGTCTCCAGATAACAATAGCTGAGTCTTATTGAGCACTTACTTTGTGCCAAACACTGTTAAGCATTTTTCCTGCTCATGATAGACATTATTTGTTATATGCTCCATTTTATAGATGATGGAACAAAGGCTTAGAACCCATATCACAGAGCCAGTAAATGATAAAACAAAGATTCTAACCTACAGAGTCTGATGTTAGAGTCTGGGCTTCTGCCCACTATGCTCTGCTCCATGTAATGAACTCTCTTAATTGTTGGCCAGCCATTTTAAAAACATGTATCCCTGCTCATAAGAAATACTGGGCAAGAAAATATACAATGTAGTGCAAACCCATTACAATTACTGGACCATTGGTTGAAAATACTATTTGGGGTTTTGTCATCTTTAAGTAATGATACTTGGATGCTTTTTAGTACCAGAAAGCTAAATTAATAAATAAAGCATAGTTTAAAAAAGTAACTGAGAGGATAAATCAATGATAATTTACAGATTCAAATACATTTCTCTCTCAACTGCCTAAGGAAAAGTAGAATTGTGGAAGGAAATGAGACATGTATGTTCCAAGCTGGGCAGATAGTTAGGATCATAACAATAAGTTCATTTACAGCCTAAACTGGGAAACCCTTCAAGTTCATTGCCCATTTCTAACTTGTATCCTGGGTTTTTTTTAAAAATATCATCCATTTTCATCCCATTTCCTCCTTAATTCTTAAAACTTCTCCATATTGGTACTCACTATTCCTCTGAAATGTCCTTAGAATCACCAGTGAATAAATACTACCGCTTTTTTTTTTTGGTGGGGGAGGGGTTTGAGACAGGGTCTCACTGTATAGTCCAGGCTGACCTGGAACTTCTGATTTTCCTGCCTCAGCCTCCCAAATGCTGGGATTATAGGTTTTGTCATCATACCCAACTTCATGCCTGTCCATAATCTCATTTATATTATGTATTGTTGAATTTATATTTCATATTGTTGAATTCCCCCTGAACCTCAGGAATTCTCTACTCCTTTGGCTTATGGGGGAATCGTTTTAGGTCACTTTTCTTTAATATCTGACTTTCTTTTTTCTTCTATTTGGTAGTACTGGGGTTTAAACTCAGGGCTTTGTGCTGGCTAAGTAGGTACTCTGCTGTTTGAGCCATGCCTCTAGTCCCCCTTTTTACTTTTAGATGTTTTTCAGATAGGATCTTGTGTTTTTGCTCAGGGCAGCCTAGATCATGATCCTCCTATTAATGCTTCCTGAACAGCTGGGGTGACAGATGTGTGTCATGCCCAGCTATTAGTTGAGATGGAGTCTTGCTAACTCTGCCTGGCCTCAAACCATGATCCTCCCAATCTCCACCTCATAAGTAGCTGGAATTACAGGTGAGCCACTGGCACCTGACCCTGGCTTTTCTTTATTATTCCTTTTTCTCCTTTAAGAAGAAGCTTCATCTTACTTTTACTTACAACTTTTCTGTATTCCTGTTTATTCAATTTGGTTAACCTCAGCCTCCATTTTCTTTTTAAAGAGGCAGTGTTGCTTAACTGCTTTACAGACACCGCTCTTTGTATTTTTCATCCCACTTTGAAGTTATCCTTTCATGTTTTTCTACCCTCTACTCTCCATATGTAAAATCTTGCTGTTAATCTAATTCTTAGTTTTCTTCTTGAGACTTGATCTTTTACATTTCTACCATCCTTATAGCTTGCCATGCAAATCTACATCAGGTAAGGTCCAGGTTACTATAACTCTTCTTTTCCAGTTTTCTTGCCTTCAGAATCCCCATCTTGTATAAAGCATCCAAATGATCCTCTTCAAACTCCCTTTTTCATGATGCTTCATTTGACTCAACAATCAACAGATAATTCTTACCAGAGCAGTAAGGTTCCAAGTTCTTGATTACTTTGCCCTTCATGCTTAATCTGCCTCAACCTTCATTACTCTCCAGCATGTTCACTTGATTGATCACATTCAAGCACCCTACAGCCTTCTACTGTTGTCTTACAAGCCCTTGCCTCTGTGCCTTTCTCACACTGTTCTTGCTTACTCTTTGGCCCTAGCTCATATTCATCACTCCCTTCAAAACCTAGCTTCCTTTGTATCTTCTGAATGATCTCTCCCTAATTGACTTCCCCTAGCACTTATCTTTTGAGTTTGTACTGTGATCCATGCACTTACTAATGTGTTGTTCTGTAATTATTTTCCAGCAGTCTACATTGTAGTTTCATGTTTGTATTTATTTCCAAAATTAAATTGTAAGCTCCTCGAGGGCAGGAATAACTCCCATTTGTATTGCTGCACCCTCTAGTGCCTAGTACAGTGCTGAGCACATAGTAGGCATTTAATAAATGCTTGTTGAATTATTGTGTGGATTATTTGTGGTATTATCTATAGAAAATTTTAAGCAGTTTTCAAGGATGTCTCATCACTTTGTATACTCAAAAAGACACATTTCCTCAAAGTAGAGTACATCAGGATTTCCCGTACTTAAGAGGAGGCCCAAAAAGAACAATTCTAGGGGAGGGTATGTGTGGGAAATTGAAGTTTGAAGCTCTCCATTTGCTTGAGCAAATTTGTTTATGAATTAAGAAAGAAAATGGGAAACACTTAAAAATGATTGTGTTAAAGTTATAAAAGGATTTTGTATCTGAAGTTAGATCAGTTGGAGAAATTTGGCTATCTGTGGACAGCCGGGATGCTACTGGCGTCTAGTGGATAGAGTACGGGATGCTGCTAACCGTCCTGCATGCCAGGACAAGCCTCTACAGCAGAGAAGTTTCTGGCCCCAAAATGTTTTACACCAAGATTGAGGAAC